TACAGAAGAAGTGTTATCTATTCTATTCATTTTACAGTTAAAACAGAGTAATAAGTGGAAGGGATTAATAGAAAAAAAAATTAATTTGCTCCCTCGATAACTTCATATATGCTGATATAAATTATGAGTAAAAGAGATAGAAAATGGTAAAGAAAAAGCTTTTAGTGAAGGAGACGGACTGAATCACAACAGAGAAGGATTTTGTGAAAGTGTAAGTGTTTTTGAGGGGAATGGACAGATGTAATTTAGGTACAACCTCATAAACTCAGTTACTTCAAACAAAAGGTGACGTGCCCTTCCTCTGTATTTCACACGCACACTCACTTTCAGTCCAACAGAATTCACAGAACTCTCAGAAAATTTCCAGGGCCAGACCCTCTCCTGATCCCTCCCCTGCCAGCTCTCCAAAAGCAGGTTACACAACACAGGCGAGCAAAACGAAGGCGTGGGCTACCAAAAAGGAGACAGCAGAGTTTATCCTGAACAAAAACCACTGTAGCTACCATATGAACACGTTTAACTGCATCATGAAAAAGACTGCTTCACAAACGTACAGAATTTGTTCGTTTTCGTTTCCAACAGTCAGGATTTAAACGTTTCTGTTCTTCCGCCAAGGCCTTGGCTTCTAACGTGTACATCCGCCTTTCTTCATTCTTCATTTTCTTCCACCTGTCGCCGAGTATCACACTTATGGCTCTGCAAGACAGACATTTACAGTACGGTCAGGACAGGGTGCGAAGAAATACCCTATTTTTTTCTTTTTTACCTCAGCACTTTAAAGAAGACAAAAGTTAAGCGTGCAAATAATACACACAGAAGAAATCAACTGTATCTTTAAAAAAGTTTTTTAAACAATTGTGGTTTTGATTATCTTCTCATACTTCACAGTTGAACAGCTGAGTCTTCTGCGTTAGCTGAGCATGGGTCAGCGCACATTCTAACATTTCAAAGGGTGCACATTAGAATACACAGCAACTCACATAAACCAGCAAAATAGGGATGTTAAATAAACCACCACCAAATGGTAACTCACATTTGTTTTGCTCTACTTTCGTACTAGAAGATCATATGACAGATTTGCTGAAAATATGTTCTCTAATAATTAGGGCAATGATCTGCGTATGACCTCAGCCAAACAAACATTTGATTAACTGCCACCCCCCACGTCTATTTAGCAGATGTGTGTAGCTTCCTCCACTTTAATCCATACCGGGGGAACGTACTGTTAAATTCCCTTTCCTATGCAAAAGGAACTATTTGTTCTAACACATCTATCACCATTTCCCGAAGCGGAATGAATTGCTTTCCTACTCCTTGTAAACTTGCTGTCTTTTGGACAATATTTCTCCATATTCTCATGCCATATTGCTCAACTGCACTCCCAAATGATGGATCAATATTCCATTAAAGCTTTAACTCCATCCTTGAGGTGAATGAAAATCTCTAAATAACAGCTCTTTTATCAATGACAGTTACTAACCTACTGAGCAGGTATGCTTTGGCTTCAGATTACAGCTTTAAGAAAAAGGTGTATACGACTAGGTACTTTGCTTTTATCATATTAAGAAAGTTCCTCGCTGGCAGCAAAGCTATTCACAGACTTTCTAACAGAATCAGGAAGAGCAGAGTGTCATCCACCACTTCCACAGCACTTCACATACAGCAATTCTGAAGGCTTTTCTGCACCCTACCAAGAAAAGGGATTTTAATGCAGCAAGGCTGGGAGGTGCCGTTCGGAGCGCCGCGAGCCGCAGAGCACGCAGCGAGCACAGCAAGGACGCCAGCGGGGCTGCCGCCAAGCCTGTGCTGTCACGGGCTCTGGTGACCCCCTGGAGCAAACTCCTCCAGTCGCAACCAGACCCCATCAACATCAAACCCACCCGCACAGCCCGTCTCTTTGGCAAGGGAATTTCTGGTTTGCTATCCAAATTAAGAACCAGTGTCTTTGGTCTGTCATCAGAAGTAAACACACTCCAGTTTAATTAGCCGATTTTTCACGTTTTGGCAGTATCCAGAGGCAAATCAACAGCACCAGAAACCTGTTCGGTTTTGGTCACCGGTTTGTACTGGGTCACTCATACCCCCAGGATGCAACACGGTGACCCAGAGAGAGCACGGTTGCTGAAAAAGCCATTGCATTTCCAAATAAAAATGCACTATGAAATCTTTGTATTTCAAATGCAAAAATACGTAGGTACTTTATACCTCCAGAGAAAAAACTGTACTGAGGCACTGAAAGCGAGTACAGATCTGTACGTTTCAAAAAGCTTGAAAAATCCAATGCAGAGATGAAAGCTCCACTTCTCCAAGGAAATAGTTCTATGAGCAAACCACTGAGACTGAAAAAAGATGTGTACAGAGAAATTTCCTGACATAACAGAGACTTCATCCCCCCGACAAGTACGAAAAAAATGACGCTACTGCATCGCTGCCTTAGGCACCCTTCGCCCATCAGAAGTTCGCAGTGCTCTGTACGCTGCCTTTCTCCTCTTAAAATGCCGGTAAGGTACCTGACAACATTTTAGTAGCAGACTAATGTGCAGGATGCAATCCCTTATACTGCAGTTAATTCAAAGGAAACTGTCAAACAGCAGCTGAGAACGCCTCGAGTCTACTCAGTAATTGTGCTCAGCATGAACAAATGCCGTTAATAGTTTAGGTGATTTTCCTCATCGTTAGAATGTACACTACCCAAATTAGTCACCTATTTCTGAATGCACAATCAAGTCCAGCTATGGTTACAGTGAGAACATCTAGAAAAGAAACAAGTGCTACCCTAACACCAGTTTCTCACGTACAGTCTCACGGCCCACAGTATTTTTAAGTATCAGGTGAATGTTGACGTGTGTTTTGAATATTTACAGCTCGCTATCTTGTTAACACGGCTTGAGCTACTTTGTTTCAGAACAGGCCGTTTAACTCAGAATACCTCAAGTTCTGTCCTTTCTCACATGCATAAAAAAATAAAATAACTGCAGCAAACATAAGAACTCCAGTGTACAGAAATGGGTACTGTAGGTAACTGGGCAATCTGAAAATGACACATGCTTTCGTTTAAAAAACATGAGAGTTGCCTCTGAACAGCTAAATTAATAAACGCCCCAGCAACACTTACACAACAGTAGCTGAATGCCTATAAAAATCAATTATCACTAACTCTTATGATTTCTTCTGTACTGTATTTCATGGATGGCAAGAAACTGCATCCAAACGCGCTGCCTTCCCAACGGGACAGTGAGCAGTGCGCTCCGAAGCTTACGTGTAACTTTGTCATCACCTTCCTTCAAGGTAAACATTCAACTTATTTTCACATCCATCCAGCTGCAGCTCCAGTTC